GTCTTCCAGTCTGCCTCGCTCGTTCCCCGGCTCACTGTCCGATCACTTCAACCCTGCAATAAATGTTCATCTTTAAACCCCAGTCTCCTCCCTCTCTTAGTCCTGCATTCAGAGGTCCTCCAGTCTAGCCGTAACAAGTTAAAAACAAAGTTTTAGTAATAATAACACCCATCAGATTCTCCCTTACTCACGTCATTGCCAGACTTTGTTGGGCATTCATCCCTCTTCAGCTGTTCTGCTATCAAACACGTAGCTCTGGCTCGTGAAATGACAGCCTGCTGAACGCATAACGGCGAGTTTCTGGGGCTATGACTGGACAATATTTGGTTAGTGAATGGTCAGTTTAGGGTGGCCAAAGATCCTGAAAAATTGGGACAGTCTTGAATTATGAGCAGTTGTCCCGACTCCTCTCCTGTCAGAAAATTTGAGTAAACCTGAGTTTTGGGTAGTTATAGCTTAATACAAAATGGATAAAAGAGTCAGCTAAATGAATAAATGTAATGTGTCAACACACGTGATAGTGAAAGTTATAATCGCAAGGACAGAAGAATTGTAGCTGCAGGCAGATCTGATTAACAACGCGCTGATGAAATCAATTAAAATAAATACATCGTATGCAACAGTTCATGATTGACTCCAACTTACTTACAATGCAGTCATTCAGACTTCATGAAGAAAAAGAAGTGGACACTGATTCATATTTCTTGCTATGTTTAGGGGGGTCAATATGCTAATAATAGGTCATATGTTTTAATTAGAAAATGTCTTAATAAACGCTTCCTTAACTGGGTGTTTGTAAAATTCCTTAACCTTTCCTGTAGAGATCAAATTCATAGAAAACCCAATCTCTGAAGTCCATGATGAAAAACATCTCTTACTCAACGGGGCACTGCTGTGTTATTGTGTCTGTTTCTGCCCCAACAAACCCCACTCTTCAACGCTCTCTTCTTCACTCTCTTCATCATCCAAAAATATCGTCTCATATGTCCTCAGGACATGTTCGGTCCGCGGTTGCCGACCCTCGGCCGTCTTCACTTGTAAAGCTGATGAACCGGGACTTTAAAGCCTTCTGCTCTGCTGCACTCGCTGTGAGTCGCTGCGAATGAGTGTCAGCTAAATGCCTCCAATGTAAAATGAGATGGGATTGAAAGCAGTTAATAGAGTTGCGGCTGTGATTAGCCTCGGAGCTGCTGCAGCGAACTGCGGTGGCGGTTGGTATCAGCGGGGTCCCGCCGGCTCTGTTTGCTAGCTGACATGATAGCACTTCCTGCAGGAAAGACCCTAATTAATTGTTATCATCATTGTTTATTTCTGCCTGCAGCCATTTCTCATTTCCTGTCTCAGCTCGCCATCACGTCTCTTTCTGCCCAATATTCTGTCACTCACATTGTTGCATTCTTATTCTTCCCTTTCTTTTCTTATTCATCACTCTGCCGTTTCCTGCCCTTTTCTATCTCCGTATGTCTCTCTGTTTGTCCTTCTCCCTTGATGTTTTGTTTTCCATCCCACCGTCTCAGTGGCTCTCCAGCTCTTTCTTTATCATTCTTTATTTATTTCATGCACTGGTTGGGAAACAGCAGGTTGTTTCACAGGGTCATTTTGGAGGTACTTGAAAATTGAGCTTTGAAAAATGAATAAAAAAACAGTAATAGAACACAGACATCTTCTTTATTAAGGCATTTCAGACTGCATTTAGCCCCAGAGCCAGCCATAAGCCACAGGGTTGTGCATGACATACATTTCATTATCTGACCATCTGCCCATGTCCACGAGGGTCCTCCTCTCATTTGGAGTACAAGTTACATCTTGGAAAAACAGTGACTCTTTGGTTCCATCCACTGAAATAATTTCTGCCTCTCTAACACATTTTTGCACGATTCGGTCTTCTGTTAACCAACAGTCGTGCGTTCAAACTCTGGGATGACAAAACATTCAGCTTGGAAACACAGGAGAACATAATTAGTATGTATATCAATCATTTAGTTTAAAACCGTTACGCCTGCATTATCATAATCATCTGTGTTATGTAAGAGAAGCTCTCTCTTCCTGTCTGCCATTGAAGGCTTTTATCTTACACTCTTTACCTCTCTGCGGTTGGCGTCTCACCCTCTCCATCAAGCTCGTCCCGATCGACTCGAGCCAATTTAAATTCCATTTGGGAATCCCATTTAAATTCATGTGGGAAGTCTCATTGGCAGGGCGGCGATAAACATTTACCGAGGGGCGGGTTAAACAAATCAACAAATCAAGAAAAGAACATGGTGTGTGTTTGTGTGAGTGTGAATGGGTGGGGGGGGGGGGGGGGGGGGGGGGTGTTGACATAACTCAACTGTCCACGCAGTCATCCAAAGATGAAGCAGTTGCATGATGGGATTGAACAGTGGTAGATGTTTGTCGGGGCTCTGCGCCCGCTGTGTTGGTGTTGTTCTGAGAACTTAATGCAAACATGCAAAAACACACACACACTCACGCTAATGAAAAAATCTCGCTTCAGTCTCTCTAATCTACTTTGAAGATTTGGAGTTTCGTCATGCTCCTCCGCTCAGCCATTTTAAATCTCTCTCTCTCCCCCTGCAACACGTGATGGTCTCTTCATCCCTCGCTGACACTTTTGTTCTGTAATATTTTCTTTCAAGCCTTCTCTTTTCTCTTTCTCTCTTCTGTCTTGCTTTCCTATCTTGTTTTACATTTTCCTCTCTCCTCCCTCTCATATTCACATTTTGTCTCTGTTTCTCCTTTTGCCTTTCCTTTTCTCTAACCTTCTCAATCTTATGTTCACTCTCTCCATCACCTTTGCTTTCTCATCCTCATCCATCCAGCTAACTTTCAAAACAGAGTTCATATCTTATATCTGTTACACTGTAACACCCAAACAGAAAAACTGCTCAGTCCTTTGTCCTCTTTTAGTTGGCAAACAACGACCTAAAGTATTGACCGCAGCCAACGTGTGGTTACTCTGCAGAGTCTCAGCTGCTCTCACCTGTATTGTGTTTTCATGAAGTTGAACTTTTGATTTAGGTGTTGTAATCAACAAATAATCCAGAAATAGAAACTTTTTTTTAATTGCTACCACTACCATGTGATCAAATGATCTGACCAGAAACTTGATGCCAACTTTTGTTACAGTTTTGGATATTCTGCGGTACGGCCAAGTTTCAGTTGGTTCCAAAAAAGTACTGAGATTTGACACTGGATGAAATGATCCGATTTCATTTGTCATTATTTTTGTTTACTTAGTGGTAATGAATCCTCCTGTCCACCAGGTGGAAGTGCAGACAGCAAGGAGACGTGATAAAATGAGCAGCCTGTCCCTACAGGTCAATTAATATACAGACACCCATTATTTATGTTATTAGCAACCTCTAGTGGCCAAACCTAGCACTTTCAGACAGGAGAATGGCGTTTAAGTCCCATGTGAACCCAAGTAAGTGTTTTAAAGAGGTGGTTTTCTGCTTTTTGCCTTGTTCCCTCTCCTTTATTGACTTATATAGGCCTACCTTTTTTGTGCATGTACTAGGTTTGCAAAGGGAGTTCCAATCTCCCAGAGAAAACTCTGCTCTGAACTGCCTGAAAACAGCTCATTTGTAGTCCGGCCGCTTCCCTTTTGAAAGCTAAATGCGCCTCATAAAACGCTCGCCAAGCGGCTACTCCGACACGCCCTCAGAAACAGCGAGCTGCAGCACACAGCTCTCCTCTCCCTTCCAAACACTAGCTACCCTCCAGGCAGTCAGTGGACATAAAGTTGATCCTGTGATGTAGAGACAGAGCTCAGTTAAAACTTTATGGATACAGATTAATAACTCACCGCTCTGAAACTCTCGCTCCAGTCCGTGTTGCCAAGCCGGTCGGCAACACGTACGTCTGAACCCGAGCTGTTACCGGCTTCTCGCTGACCCGCCCTACTCTGCTTCTGATTGGCTAGTAGTCCTTAACTAGGAACTGAGCATGTGCAACTCCCAACAAAGATCATTTAGAGACAAGATGTATCACTCCATAGCTAAAACGAAGCCTCAACACAGGATGAAAAGAGGAGCTGCAGCAATGTGCAGTATGACATGAAAATATGGTGTTTTTGGAAAATTAAACCATGTAAACTTGTTCTGGTACAACCTCCGAATAAGATTTAGAACCTGAAAGTGAGCAGAATACCACCTCTTTAAGTTAAATAGCGTTTTTGACTTCCGTCACGTGACTTTCGTAACTTTAACCCAACCAAAGATCTCCTCTTAAACCTAACCAAATAGTTCTGTTGCCAAAACTTATCCAGACTAGGACCCTTTTTAACAATGTTTTCCATGTGACTTACATAACATACTGACTGTCTGGTAAGCCAGACGCTGTCACTAGACTGACACGGCAACTGCGCATATGTGTCGTTGGACTTTCCAACAGCCACATGTCATTTTGGGACCTTTGACAATCGATCCAATTTTGTTGTTAAGCCATGAGGACGTGTTAAAATTGAGTGATCACAGGTTTGTTGTTGCAATGGCAAAAATATGAAATACCTTGATAGACAATAGACCAAAAAGCAGGACGTATAAAGCATATGTCTGTCGCTTACAATTCCAATCAGTCAACAGTTCAAACAGAGTCATCTCAAGAGTAAATAACAACGGCTCAATGGTCTTCAGTTTTACTTTGAAAGTATTTTCACTTAACTTCTCACAGCTGATAAGGTTTCTGTGTCTGTGCTCCTCTGTAGCTGATGAATACAATGACAACATGCTGTGAAGCTCATGAAGATTGTGACAGTGTGGTGTGTGTGATGCTTGTTGTGATGTTTGCTCATGGAGCGGCTGTGTTGACTGTCAGCAGAGAGATTTGTATGTCTGAAGGATGTTTTACAGGCGCTGGTGGTATTTAATGATCCTGTAAAACATGTGTAGCAGTGGTTAAATTTCAATAATTAAAATCAAGACTCATAGTCGGCAGATTGTAATATCATACGATATGTTCTACATGTTGTACTAATGAATCATCCTGTCCTGCAGGTGGCGGTACAGGCAGCCAGCAGACCATTCTCCATGAGGAGCAGTGGAAGATGCCGGCTCTGCCAGCACTGCTGCTGTCGATTTACGTCGCCGTCCTGCTGCTGACCATGGCACCACTCTCCTTCAGCCAGGCCAACACCCTCTCTGCTGTCCGGATGGGTGAGTACATCACCACGACATGGGTTTGAATCCAACCATGTCTGTTTTTCTGTCTGCTGTAAACACCGGTGCTGCTAACACGTAAACATTTAAGAGGCTTAATTTTGTTGTTGAGTGAGTCTTGATACAGAAATGCTACATAAATTCCCAATCATTTAGATTTCTTGCCAACAGTGCAGTAGCCTGTTACAGCCAAGTTATTTTCACTTGAATTTATCTCCCAGAAGATTTAAAGTCAGGCAGGATAAGAAGCCACGTCTGGTTTTGATCTTATGACCCTCTGGCTAACAACCACAACACCATGTCAATTGAGGTCATGTCAGTGTTGGTAATGTGGGAGATAAAAACCCTCAGACCGGGCCAGAGGCCTTATGGGCCTTCACTCTCACACTCAATTCTCTTAAATGTAACTGTAACTTGGACTTAGATGGATTGTAGTTATTTTAATATAAATGGTATTCTTTTCAATGAGACACAGATTCCAGGTTCCATGTTCTTGTGCTGTGCCACATGATGACCTTCACAGCCTTCAGAGTTGCAGTCCACTTGCAAAGGTCTTTTGTATTCATGTGTCTTGTATTTTATCAGGCCAGAGTGCAGGTGCTAGCAACAGTTTGTTAAAATCCATAAAGGGCCCATTGTCCCGCAGTCGGAAATACAATCAATTCCAAATTATAGACTGAGCCTCTGATACGGGCTGCAAGCAAACCTGTTCAACTGGCCGGGTGTGTGTGTTCTTTACAAAAATGTGAAGGCCATAGCCTGAGAGCAACAGGCTGTGAACGTGTTAAACATTACCCTAGTATTTAGTCGTTATCAAGCTAGTCATATGGAATATTCATCATGGCTAAATGCAAAATAAAATCAGTAAATTATCTTGATTCTAACTTTTCAGGGTCCCTAGATATTTTGGCGAATCTGGAATCAGTTTCCTTTCTTGTGCACAAAGTATTATGACTTGCCTACCTGTGCATCGTTGTGTTCCATCGCTGCCAGATCCAGGTAGCGCTTCCTACGTTGTTTTCATTACTCGTACTGCTTACCGTTCCTTCTACTTTAAGCAAACTGCTCTATTAAGCTACGTGATGACATCGGAATGGGTGGATAGCAACGACCTGTTGTTTGTCTGGGGGATTTTAGATGCTAATAGAAGATCTGACAGAAATAAGCTCCTGATAGAAAGTGTCATTATTGACCCAGAATCCCACAGTATCTATGAATAAAAACGCACACACAAACAGATCTTCTGCATTAATCCTCTCTCCTGTGTGACGGTGTTAACATATAAAAACACACACGTCGCCTCTATTTTTGAATGCTCTTCCCTCGCTCGCTCCGTTTTGTTGTTTTTCTATCGCTCTCATCTTGTGTTTCCTTTATGTTTTGTTTCTCCTCACCACCCATCGCTGTCTCTGTTTGCCATGCTGAAACCTCTCACACAATCTCTTTGCTTTGTTTGCCCCCCCTTCCCCACCCGAGGCTTCCCTTTGTACCGCCGCTTGCTCTGCGTTTTCATTTCGTCTTCCCTCCTCGTTTTGTTTCCGTCCCAGGGTGGATAATTTGTAAGTGCAAATAAACGCGGCAGAAACTGGATCAGGAACGTCTCCATGACTTTTCTTCATGATTCTCGGCGAGACCTGAGCGCCGCTCTGCTATCAGCGCCTCTTATTTCCCGTCTTCATCATGCCCCGCAGAGGAGGATTAACTCCAGTAACTTTACTTTACGTTGGAAGTTCAGCTCCCTCCCCGCAGCAGATTAGAAAAAAAAAAAATCCTGTTCATCTCTCAGCCCTGTTGGCCCTGAGTTCAAATCCCTGTTGCTTTTATCAGGCAGGGCTGCTGCAAAACCGGCGGGCACTTACATCCAAGCTGCCATGGCAACCGGGTCACCTGGCAATGTGTAATGGCTCACCTTTCACTCTTCCATTAATTTTAGCTGACTGCACCACACACTCTCCCTTATATTCTTTTGTCTGATAAGTGGAGTTACAGAAGTCTCACTTTCACCCTCACAGATGATGATATGGAGAGGAAGTTACTGTTTATTTAGAAAGAAAAAATAACAATTGATCTTTAAACAAGTCCCAAATGTCAGTCCGACTCTCAATATTTCCTGACTTCCTGTCTGTGGCTCTTAGGTCCAAGCCCATTGGCTCTCCCTGAAGACATAAATCTTTAAAAATTCACAAATTTATAATTTCAGGTTTCAAAAGGCTCAGTAATTTCCTAAAACAGCTGCTCACTGTAATTTTTATCAAACAAACAGGAGGAAATGGTGCATTTAGATGCATTCAGATTTTGCTCTAGTGAGTGTCTGGGGCAGCAGGACAATGGATGTGGCACTGAGTCAGAATAATTGTAATAAATTACAGTGTGTGTGTTCATGGTGATAAAGGAACAAGTCAAATTATAAGAGTGGAAAGTTCTTGTTGTTTTTTCCAGTTCATTATGAATAATTCTCAATAAGACTTTATTGCCCCACAATGGGGAAATTCACTTCAGCAGCTTCAGATACAACACAACAGATACGAAAATACACATTAATTAATTAAATAAAAGGCTCAAAACTCAGTAACTTGCTAACTCAAGTAGACATCTGACAGGAAGGCTGCTGGTTACACTGATTTTGAAGTAGGAAAAATAAGATAATATCTATTGCTGTTTCCAAGTTGTTGAAAGACAAAAAAAAGGCAAATCAACAGACTGTGTGTGTTTGTTAAAATTCAGCCAAAAATGCTTTTTGACTGTGTTCAGGTGCATGGATGTTTCCTTTTAGCTGCATTTCTCTCTTCAAGTGGTGGAAAATCTAATTTAGTTCCACTCAGCTATAACCAAATTCTTTTCAAGGGTCGTGATTCAGCAGCTGAGAAATAAAAAGGACTGTGTGAAAGTGTTTTGTCATTCAAGGACTCGGGTCATGTTGGGAAACAGCCAGCAGTCACATGCTGGTACAGTTTGTCCTGCGGCGGATACTGTAGGGCAGAGTTATGTGCTGCTATGGCAGGTAACCAAACATCAAGCGATCATCAGGGGGCACACACATGTTCATCTTTGATCTTTGCAGGTGCTGGCTAACAATCATCTGAACAAAAGATAAAAATACCCGCTCACCACTGTCTCATTCTCAATTCTTCTATGTTCAACATTGACATGACAACATTTTGACCACAAATGGCCTTCCTCAGGTCAGTCAGACCTGGAAAACCTGTGCGATCAGCCTCTATACAGCCAAATGATGTATCATAGGAAAGAAAAAAAGAGTTGTGGTGAGTCAAGGAGCCGTCAAATTGTATCTAGATGCTTGACGAAGATGGCGTCCTTTTGTGTCAATGCAGGTTATGGCAGGGCAGAAAAGAAAAAGCCACCACTAGTTTGAGAAGCAAATGGTTGTCATAGATAGACAGCCCTTAGAAGTCAGCATCTCTGCACTGTAAGACATTTCAAGGTCGTTTAACTTGGAAATGCAAGTTCACCTGCTCCCTTGAAAATAATAAATAAGTTAACTCAACATGACGATTGCATTTATTTCTACTAGCAAATTAAAGTCGATAGAACGGTCTCAATGTTGCTTTTTTAGTTGATTAAACGTTTTGTAACTTCTTTAAATGAAGATGATTTATATTCCAAATTTGTTTTTATTTAATGTATAGGGATTTTCTCAGGTACTCACTCAACCGGTGGCATTAGTCTTTTCAGGTTTTCCACAAAAGTGTCTACATTTAGTTGGAAATTAAATACATGACTTATCGGTAATGTATAATTAGTTAATTATTATGTCCATGCTTTAACTTTGTGATGGTCAGGGCTGGACTTGTAATCTGGCATACCGGGCAAATGCCCGGTGGGCCGACGCACCTTTGAGGCCGGTGTAACATAAATTATTTATTTATATAACTGTTTTTTAAAAATGGGCCAACAAATGACCCATGAAGCCAAAAATGCCAGGGCCGATGTTTTGTTTCTGTCCAGCCGTGGTCATGGTTGAAAGAAGATGCAGTAACTATTTTTTTCTCTTGCTCCCATCCTTACACACCCACCTTTTTTTTTCAACTGATAACATACCCAAGTTCAATCAGCACATCTGACAACAGTCTCAAATAGTCAATACAAGGACTGAATGCAAGTTTAATTTTTTAAAACTTGCTCGCTGAGTTAAAAAGAAGTAGTAAGTTGACGTATCTTAACAGGGCTGTAATGAATAAGAGTGAGGGGTTAGCACGTGTTCTTTATCATCAGTCATTCACTTTTTTATGTTATTTGGAATTAAGTTCAGCAGTTGGAAGTCAGTTTATTCCTGTAAGAGTCAAAATGTAACTAAAACTATTTGGTTGAATTTGAGCTTGACAATGTTTTTTTACATGTTCTTTGTCAGTAGACATTATTTGATCCACCTCACCCCTGTTAAGGTCAATTTTTAAACCAATAAGGATGAAAACTCCTCCGAATCATGGTGGAAAGCAAGTAAGTGGACTGTGTGATGAGATTGTTCTGTTACTCAGTGGCGGTCTGGCCATCTGGAGTACTGGGAGTACCTGTACTTTTTTACTAATAATAAAGCCCCGCCCCATCCGTCATGCTAACACACACCCCAGTGACACTGACAGCTGGGAAAAGAGCTACAACAGAAAATGGAAAAGTAGATTTTAATGTTATGTTAAGAGTCGGGCTGAAAAGTCCAGAGACAAAAGAGTCAAAGGTCTTTGCTGAAATGCACTTCTTGGTTAAGGTCAGGTAAAGGCCATGGTCAAAAAAACTATGCTGACTGTTGACAAGATACACAGATAATTTAGCAAATGAGGATACTTTTGGACCTTCTCTTCAAAAGTAGATGGACAGAACAGATTTTTAAAAAAGTGCTTGAGAAAGAAACACTGCCTATTTCACACACTCCGTCCTATTGCTGCATAAATTGTGTTTCAGAAAGTTCACATGGCAACAGGGTTCGGAGAGGGAGGTTGGTACGAAATCTGACAAGCATTTTGTTTAAAGCAAACTGAGAC